TTTTTTATATTCTGTTGGGAGCTGCCCAGAGTGGCTGGGGAAACCCAGCCAGATGGGCGGGGTATGAATTATTATTATTATTATCCTCCAGGGAAACTTGCTTTGAATTGGCAGTCCCTCCAAGTGCCCCTATTTTCAAGGGACAGTCCCCAATTCACAGAAACCATCCTCATTTCTGATTTTATCCTGGAATCTCCCACTTTCCCTTAGGTCACAGCAGTTCTCAACCTGTGGGTCCCCAGATGTTGTTGGACTACAACTCCCATCATCCCTGAGCTCTGGCCTTGCTAGCCAGGGGTGATGGGAGTTGTAGTTCAACAACATCTGGGGACCCACAGGTTGAGAAAGGCTGCCTTAGGACGTGCCTCTTTTCATTGGAGAAATGTTGGAGGGCATGGAGTTATGCGACCCATGAGCCCAGGAGATAAGTAACTACACACCTTTTAGAAGACATCTGAAGGCAGGGAAGTTTTGACTGGGGCAACCCAGTCAGATGGGTGAGATTTACAGTGCTCATCTGTTGAAAGAGAACCACCCAAGCCACTTCAGCAAGTTGTTGTTGTTGTTGTTTAGTCGTTTAGTCGTGTCCGACTCTTCGTGACCCCATGGACCAGAGCACGCCAGGCACTCCTGTCTTCCACTGCCTCTCGCAGTTTGGTCAAACTCATGCTGGTAGCTTTGAGAACACTGTCCCACCATCTCGTCCTCTGTTGTCCCCTTCTCCTTGTGCCCTCCATCTTTCCCAACATCATGGTCTTTCCAAGGGAGTCTTCTCTTCTCATGAGGAAGCCACAGTATCGGAGCCTCAGCCTCAGGATCTGTCCTTCCAGTGAGCACTCCGGGCTGATTTCCTTCAGAATGGAGAGGTTTGATCTTCTTGCAGTCCATGGGACTCTCAAGAGTCTCCTCCAGCACCAGAATTCAAAAGCATCCATTCTTTGGCTATCAGCCTTCTTTCTGGTCCAGCTCTCACTTCCATACAACACTACTGGGAAAACCATAGCTTTAACTATACAGGCCTTTGTTGGCAGGGTGATGTCTCTGCTATACCAAGGAATATGCCAGGTATGCTCAGGCCCCTGTGGGATTGAGCATCAGTCCTGCTAATACCAAATGTGGGTGATAAGTTAAAGTTACCAGATTTTTTTCAATGAATCTGGGGACACTGTATTCTGCTCTGGTCAGACCTCACCTGGAGTACTGTGTCCAGTTCTGGGCACCACAGTTCAAGAAGGACACCGACAAACTGGAACGTGTCCAGAGGAGGGCAACCAAAATGGTCAAAGGCCTGGAAACGATGCCTTATGAGGAACGGCTAAGGGAGCTGGGCATGTTTAGCCTGGAGAAGAGGCGGTTAAGGGGTGATATGATAGCCATGTTCAAATATATAAAGGATGTCACATAGAGGAGGGAGAAAGGTTGTTTTCTGCTGCTCCACAGAAGCGGACACGGAGCAATGGATCCAAACTACAAGAAAGAAGATTCCACCTAAACATTAGGAAGAACTTCCTGACAGTGAGAGCTGTTCGACAGTGGAATTTGCTGCCAAGGAATGTGGTGGAGTCTCCTTCTTTGGAGGTCTTTAAGCAGAGGCTTGACAACCATATGTCAGGAGTGCTCTGATGGTGTTTCCTGCTTGGCAGGGGGTTGGACTCGATGGCCCTTGTGGTCTCTTCCAACTCTATGATTCTATGATTCTATGAAATAAATACTACACATTCGGAACGTTGATGCTGCAGTGATGGCGGTGGCAGAGGGGCGGCTGCCGCCTTGACCTCACATTTCCCCTTCCTCCGAGGCTTCTATCTCCTTTCTCCATGAGCCTGGGCAGCCCCTGAGTTGTTGGTTCTTCAGTGGTGGTGGGGAAGCGGTGCGAGGTGGGTCAGGCATGGAAGGTGGAGAAGGAGGGCTGAGAGTGGCGGCGAAGCTCGGGCAGCGCGATGCCTCCCTTCCCATTGGAGCTGCCCCAATCCCATTCCTACTCCTTCTCGCAGCAAGCTCTGATAGGCAGCGTGAAGCCTCCCTTCCCAGCTGAGAGATCCTTGCCCCCTCCTGCTTGCACACAAGTAGGAGTTGGGAGGCTGCTCCGATAGGCAGCATGAAGCCTCCCTTCCCAGCTGAGAGATCCTTGCCCCATCCTGCTTGCACACAAGTAGGAGTTGGGAGGTTGCTCCGATAGGCAGCATGAAGCCTCCCTTCATAGCTTAGTTGTTGGGCTCAGGGAAGGTGGAGGCAGCCCGGAAGCTGTGTCTTAGAGCCCCTGCAACACCATCATAGGGGGACTTCCGAGTAGCTCCTGAAGCCAGCCAGAGCCAAGTGCTCCGGGCTGCTGAGACTGCCGCCGCTGCATTTCCCGGGGACATCAGATGAAATCCGGGGACATTCCGGGGATAGAATTTGTATGGGGACTTATTTGCAAATCTGAGGACTGTCCCTGGGAAACGGGGACCTCTGGTAACCCTATGCTAAGTGCCAACAGAAAAGGAGTCGAGATGGGACCACTGGGACGCTTGGTGATATCATCAGCTTGCCTCGGGGAACCTTAAGATCTACAGAAGTACAAAAGAGGCATTGTGTTGTTGATTTTTGAAGTAGAAAAAATGAAAGAGGCCTTCCACCCCAATGGGGAGATATACGAAACAGACGGCTCCCTCCCTCAGCTTTGCCAAAAGCTCAGAGGCATCAGGTACCTCCTGCCCCTGAGCTGTGCCAGCTGATCATTATAAGAATAATTGGTGCCCACGTTTTCCTCCCCTGTCCCTTTTACCTTTGTGTTGTGGAGGGTTAGATCGTAAGCCTGCGGGCAGCGACTGTCTTGTTTTAACTGAATGTATGTAAGGCACTCCAGGAGCTGTTTTGGCAGCAGAGCAGAGTCAAACATGCTCCAAATAAGTAATCAATCAATCAATCAATCAATCAATCTGGAAGCTACTAGATGAGCCTTGCAGGATCCCGAAGGAGAGCATGACTCATGGGCTGAAGCTCCGAAGGGAGCGCTCAGCTTGTGCGATGAGGATACACACACTGCCAAATTTTGTTCCACCTGTCATCTTCCGCTGCCGGGCGTTGCCATGGCAACCATGCACCACCCGAATCGCTCATGCAGTTGATGCAGCATTCCAGTGAAACATGTATTAACCAGGCACCTGCACTCAAAAATGTGCTTGGGATTCAGGCACCTGCCTGCAGGGTTTTTTAAAAAAACATTTTTGGACCCCTTAATTCCCCAACCCAGAGTCCTGCCCTCCCTGTCTGTTCCCTCTCTCCTTCCCTCCCAATACCATGCACTTCCTCCTGTCCGGTAGGGAGGAGATTTTCTGCAGTCCTGATGGATCTTTCACCGCACAGAAGTTGGAGTGTTTGTGAACATTCTGTTACTGCAGAACGTTTGAAACCTTTGCCAACCTGGTGCCCACCAGAAGTTTCAGACTCCCATGAGCCCCGGGCAGCATCTTATAGGACATGAGAAATAAGCCCCTGGGAATTCTGCCTGGGGCTGTCAAAGAATGCGGGAGAAGAACAAAAATGGGAACTGCTGAAAATATAGAGAAACCAATTGTTAAAGATTAACCATTGATAGAATTAAATCTATATGCATATTGATTAAAACCATGCAAATAATAAACCTTTACAATAAAAACAGCATGGAACCAGCCCTTTCATTAAAAAGCAATCAGTTACCAAGAGCCTGTTGGAACAAGGAAGTACAGTCATACCTCGGGTTGAATGTGCTTCAGGTTGTGCGCTTTCGGATTGCGCTCCGTGGCAACCCAGAAGTAACGGAGCATGTTACTTCCGGGTTTTGCCTCTCTCACATGCGCAGAAGCTCAAAAGGACATCATGCGCAGACTCGCCGTTGCGTCTTACGTTCTATTCAGGATGCGAACGGGGCTCCGGAACGGATCCTGTTCGCATCCCGAGGTACCATTGTATTCACTTGTCAACAGAAGGACAACTAGGAGGGAGGCAGTTTGGCTTTTTCAGGGAGGGAGTGTTAGGATATTCCATTCCACCTTAAAAGGAGCAGGCGGGATTGTTGTGTGTCACATGCCTGTTTACAGTCCAGCACTGCTTGCTGGGAACTTCCGTTTTGTGTACAGTGGTATTTCAGGTTACATACGCTTAAGGTTACAGATGCTTCAGGTTACAGACTCCGCTAACCCAGAAATAGTACCTTGGGTTAAGAACTTTGCTTCAGGGTGAGAACAGAAATCGTGCTCCGGCGGCAAGGCGGCAGCAGGAGGCCCCATTAGCTGAAGTGGTGCTTCAGGTTAATAACAGTTTCAGGTTAAGAACAGACCTCTGGAATGAATTAAGTACTTAACCCGAGGTACCACTGTATAGCTTTTGCTTTAGCTGCTTGCTTGGACATGAAAGGGAGAAGTCATGTTTTTCCTTTGTCCTGAATAAACTGCTTGTAAATATGCTTTACATATGCCTCTATCTGCCATTCTGTTGCGAAGAGTTATTTACTCTGCTGAGTAGAGCGTGCTCCAGCTTCTGAAGCTGTGGGTCTCTGTTTCATGCTGTGCCAAGGACCGCAGATCGCCCGGCTACCGGCCGGTGGGCTGGAGCCAGGTGGGGGCCTGCAAATTGCCCCCATTTCCTTGGACACATCTCAACAGGGAGTTCCAGAGTATGGGAGCAGGCTGGGTACAGTGTGCCAGCCTAGAAGACTTGGGTTCAAATCCCCCCTTGGCCATGAAGCTCACTGGGCAGCCTTAGGTAGTTGTGAGGATAAAACAGGGAATCACTTGTATCACCTCAAGCTCCTTGGACGGAAGATGGAATATCTGATAGCAGCCCTATGTAGGGAAGTTTCCAATGTTTGATTTTTTTATATGTGTTGGAAGATGCCCAGAGTGACTGGAGCAACCCAGCCAGATGGGCAGGGTATTATTAATAATAATAATAATATTATTATTATCAACATCATCATTACATCACCAATCAATTAAAAAAAACCTGCATCACAAAGGTAAACTTTAAATTTACTGCTACACCTCTGTTTGCCTCTGGCCCTGCCCACCACAGACATCCGGTTTCTCGAAGATGATCTGGATGAGATTGTGGTCACGGGACTGGAAAAGTCGCCCTACCCTGTCCCAGGTGGTCTCACCTGGTACCATGGTTCTTCTGCCAACATCTCCGAGTTGCAAGCAAGGGCTTCTTTTAAAAACAAATCCCTTTGGGGAACAGGGAGGGTTTACAGGTGGGGGGGGGAGTCAGAAATTCTTCTCTGACTCAGGTTTCAGCCCGAGGCAGAGAATAATTCAAGCGCTTTACAAATCCTTCCCTCCCCAAACCCCAAATCCTCCTGGAAACTTATCTACGGGACTCCAAGGCGCCCTGCGGCAAACTGCTTTGGATGTTCCCTACGCTGGTCTGAATCTGCAGCGGGAGACAACTGGTGTAAAGTGTCGAACAGCCAGAAGGGAGCCCTTGTCATCCATCTCTCTGTTTGCTTCTGCCTTCTCGTTTGTTTTCCCCCTGAAAGTCACGATTGTGCCGGGGATGTGGAAAAGCTGCGACGGGACTTGTGCCAGGATGCTCCCGGCTGGCCACGTGCCGGTTGCCGTAGGAACCTGCAAGATGCACATTCTAGAAGTTGTCCTGAAAGGAGAGGAGGAGTCGGTTGGACAGTTGTAGGAAAGGGGGCAAAGGGGCCCTCGGATCCAAACCACAAAGTCTCAGGATGTCCTGGTGAGTTGACGGCGGGCAGGGCAGTTCCGAAACGGGAGCTTCTTATGGGGACCAGTTGCCAAATTTGCAGTCCTACGTCTTGGGGACAGTGAAGCGGGCAGTGAGATGGGGGTCTCATTTCTGGGGCCAGAGACTCCAGTCTGCCAGCTGGTTTCCTTAACTAGAAGAATGAAAATCTATCAGGGGACGTATAGGGCCCTGTGCCTGTTTTTTTGCACCACAGACCATGGAATTTGGCCTCCGGTGCAGCCTAAGTAAGCAGGAATTCCAAGAATCTGAGTCTTCGTTTTTAAAATGAAAGGGCTGTTTCTAGCCCTCAGAGTTATGCAAGGAGAAAAATCAGAAGAATGTACGTCATGTTTTTGCTAAGTTGTGATAAATTGAGAGGGCGTTTTCTTAAACCGTAGCACCCAGATCTGGACACGGCACTCTAGGTGTGGTCTGACCAAGGCAAAATGTTGTTTAGTCATTTAGTCGTGTCCGACTCTTCGTGACCCCCTGGACCAGAGCACGCCAGGCACTCCTGTCTTCCACTGCCTCCTGCAGTTTGGTCAAACTCATGCTGGTAGCTTCGAGAACACTGCCCAACCATCTCGTCCTCTGTCGTCCCCTTCTCCTTGTGCCCTCCATCTTTCCCAACATCAGGGACTTTTCCAGGGAGTCTTCTCTTCTCACGAGGTGCCCAAAGTCTTGGAGCCTCAGCTTCAGGATCTGTCCTTCCAGTGAGAACTCAGGGCTGATTTCCTTCAGAATGGAGAGGTTTGATCTTCTTGCAGTCCATGGGACTCTCAAGAGTCTCCTCCAGCACCATAATTCAAAAGCATCAATTCTTCGGAGATCAGCCTTCTTTATGGTCCAGCTTTCACTTCCATACATCACTACAGGGAAAACCATAGCTTTTACTATATGGACCTTTGTTGGCAAGGTGCTGTCTAGGTTTGCCATTGCTTTTCTCCTAAGAAGCAGGCGTCTTTTAATTTCGTGACTGCTGTCACCATCTGCAAAATAGAGTGGTACTATTCCTTCTCTTGGCCTGGACAATATATTTCTGTTGATGCAGCCTAGAATTGCATTAACATTTTTAATTTTTTTTGCCCTCTGAATACCAGTTGCTGGAAACCACAGGTAAGAGTTTTGTGCTCAGATCTTGCTTGCAGGTTTTGCACAGGCATGTTTCACAGAACTGAAGAGCTGGAAGGAACCCAACTCCCTCAACCTTTCCTCATAAGGCTTGGTCTCCAGACCCTTGATTATCCCGGTCGCCCTCCTCTGCACAAGTTCCAGCTCTTCAAAATCCTTCTTAATTTGTGGCACCCAGAACCGGACATAGTATTCCAGGTGTGGTATAATCAAGGCAGAATAGAGCTGAACTATTACTTTTCTTGACCTGGACACTATACTTCTGTTGATGCAGCCTAGAAGATCATTAGCTGTTTTGCTGCTCTATCACATCGTAAACAATAATAATAATAATAATAATAATAATAATAATAATAATAATTTATTTATATCCCCCCCTCCCCAACCGAAGCCAGGCTCAGACAGGCTAACAACAATAAAAGTAACACAACATTCTAAAATCAATACATCTAAAATCAATTCAAAATCAAATTCATGGCAACCATTGGGCTAGAGTTCTGTGAGGATTACCAAAGGAGGAGGTCAGACTGTGCCTTGGCCAAAGGCCTGGTGGAACAGCTCTGTCTTGCAGGCCCTGCGGAAAAAAGGCAAGTCCCGCAGGGCCCTAGTCTCTTGTGACAGAGCGTTCCACCAGATTGGGGCCACGGCCGAAAAAGCCCTGGCTCTGGTTGAGGCCAGCCTAACCTCCCTGGGGCCTGGGACCTCCAAGATGTTTTTATTTGAAGACCGTAAGGTCCTCTGTGGGGCATACCAGGAGAGGCAGTCCCGTAGGGACGAGGGTCCTGGGCCATATAGGGCTTTAAATGTTAAAACCAGCACCTTAAACCTGATCCTGTACTCCACCGGGAGCCAGTGCAGCTGGTATAGCACCAGGTGAATGTGATCGCCGCGGCATTCTGCACTTGCTGGAGTTTCCATTGACTCATGTGAAGCTTGTGGTCCACTAAGACGCCTAGAGCCTTTTCACATGTGCTACTGGCAAGCCAAGTGTCCCTCATCTGAGATTTGTGCAGCTGTTCTTCCTGTGTAGAACCTGACATTTGTCCCTAAAAAACTTCATTTTGTTAGTTTGGGCCCAGTTCTCCAGTCATCAGTCCTGATTCTGTCTTCTGCGGCATTAGCTACCTCTCCCAGTTTGGTGTCATCTGCAAATTGGATGAGCATCCCCTCAATTTCTTCATCCAAATCATTTATAAAGACGTGGAACAACAACAGGCCCAGGACAGAACCCTGCAGCACCCCACTTCTCACATTTTTCCAGGATGTGACAAGTGGTTTCCAACCATTAATGAGCACTCTTTGGGTTCAGTCAGTCAACCAGCTACCAGTCCACCTAACAGCTACCTCATCCATCCCACATTTTACCAGCTTCTCCACAAGAATATCACGAGGGACTTTATGAAAACCACTGTGAATTTGGCCACAGGATGCTTGACTAGATGCATTGATGCTTCTGGAAAGGGGAGAGGAGATTCCAAGTCACCTAAGCCTTTTGTTTTACATAAAGAAATGGTCCTTTTGTTCCTTTCCATTTTTTTTTATTTTCACAAAATTATAAACAAACAAGACAAACAAACAAACAAACCCAATTCACAATCTTATTAGAAATTATACTCATTAACATTGTTAAGTGACTTCCTCGCTTCCCCTTGAATTTCCATGCATATCCATTTAACGGTTTTCCAAATCACAGTTCTTATAAACTTTACCTTTAGCTTTAACATCTTTCAGTCTTTACCTTTTGAAATTATACATATTGATTCATCACTTAACTTATATAAAATCCTAAGCCTATTCATCCACATCATATAAATATGCTGTGGTTGGTCCTTTGGGGCAAATGGCGTGAAGCCCCCAGGCATCTCAGTCTGTTTTCAGCCTGCTCCCACCCACCTGCCTTACTGACCACCTGTCCAAGGAGTAGCACTGGCTGCCGCCACCTCCTCCTTAGCACCAGTTTTGCCATTGTAGGACTCAGCTGGGAAGAGCATTGGGGGAAACCCGAGTGCTGGTTCTGCCTGCCAATGGGCGCCAGCCAGCCCTCCCTGTAAAATGGCAAGCCAGATCATTGGTCCAACTAGCCCACTCGTATTGATTGTGCTGACTAGCAGAAATTCTTCAAGGCTTCGGCTTTCTAAGATTATTTCTGTTGAGCATTCCATGTTTTCTCACCACAGTTCTCCACCCTGGAGCTATGGGACATCCCCTAACCCGGGGCAGGCAACCTTTTCTCTTTCTACAGTGGTGGGTGAGGAAGGAGGGCTGGGCCACCTTCTCTCTCTGGTTTCACCCACACAACACATTTAAAGCCATCCTTCTAAATCTATGTGGACCATAACTAAGTCCCTGACATTTTGAAAAACACACCTAAGCAGAAATGAATATTATTATGCCTTGCAGAAGTCAACAAAGCTGCACTAACATTGAGATCCACCCTTGATTTTTCTCTGCTGCGTCTTAAAAAAAACCCGACTTGAAAGGGGAACTCCTTCCTGGCAGGTATCTTGGCCAGGTGGGCAGACAGGTGGGCAAGTCAGCAGGTGCTCAGCTGACAACCTTCGGGAGGAGATGGGATCCCTTTCAGAAATCCCTGGCACAGCAAGGTCTTGGATGCATTTTGCGGAGGAGCTTCCAAGAGAGCAGGTGGGCCCGGGTACCACCATCGCAGCATCCTCATCCTCTTGAGGAAACACTGCATTGCTTGCTTCCAGGTTGCTTGGACCGGTGTGCAGCATCCCATAGATTTCTGAGTCCCTGCCCCCTTTGTTCCCTGAGTGGTGGGAGAGAGGAGCCTTTGCACATGAGAAACAACACCAGAGACCTTCAGTCTTTTTGCAAGCTGAGTAGACTAAACTCAAGCGGTGGGGAACCTCAGGACTGGCTGCTGAATGTGGCACCCCTATCTTGCCCACAGGCTAAACCAGGTGAGGGTAGCCAGTGGGTTTCAAACCCTCTAAGTTAGGGACTTATCCTGCATGCAAAGATAGGCACATGGGCTTCAGCACATGGATGTAGCCAGGATTTTTGTTGAGGGGGCAGGACTTATGGTGGGGCAGAACCGACATGATTGGTCAGTTAAGTAAATCGGCAGGTTGAGAAGACGAGACCAATAGAGTCATACCTCGGGCTGAAGTAGTTTTGGGAGAAGTATTTTCGGGTTGCACGTGACCCGGAAGTAATGGAGCGCGTTACTTCCGGGTTTCGCCGCTCGCGCATGTGCAGACGGTCAAAATGATGTCATGCACATGTGCAGAAGCGGCGAATCAGATCCCGCATGGCCCTGGTCTCATGAGACAGAGTGTTCCACCAAGTCGGGGCCAGTGCTGAAAAGGCCCTGGCTCTGGTTGAGGCTAATCTGACTTTTCTAGGAGAAGGAAATCTCTGATCGTAAGCCTCCTATGCTTTGAGGCTATACTCATTTGTAAGAAAAGCTTCAGGAGTAAACCCCAAAGAAAAATCTGTGCCTGCTACAGATACCTGCAGTGCATCTTCGGAAGAAGAAAAGACTAAGGCGTAAACCCTACACAAATCCAGAGCAGAAATCCTAAGATGGTTGGATGGCGCCCTGTACGCCTCCTTCTGGCAACTCCTGCAGCCAATCTGGTGCCAAACCTCTTGCTCTGCTTTCCTTGGATAACGTCACCAAGCACCTCCCCATTCTCTCCCGCAACTTTCCCCTGGCAAAATTCAAATTTCGCAAACAAACCTTTCCCATTCGTGCATGTACATCAGTGATCTCATTCATCTCTAGCAGCCCAAGTTTGCTGCTAGAGCAACTTCTCCTGCATCTTGTCCTGGAAGCTCATAGAATCTCACATCATAGAGCTGGAAGGGGCCCCCTGAGGATCATATAGTCCAGCCCCCTTCATTGCAGGAATTTGCAGCTCTCCCTCACGGGGAACGAACCTGCAACCTTGGCATCTTCAGCTCCACACTCTAACCAGCTCAGCTATTCTAGAATGATACAAGAGGGACTCGTTGTTAAACAGCTCTGGGAATTGTATTTCCTTGAGGCGAATAAGGTAAAGGGACCCCTGACCATTAGGTCCAGTCGTGGCCGACTCTGGGGTTGCGGCGCTCATCTCGCTTTATTGGCCGAGGGAGCCGGCGTACAGCTTCCGGGTCATGTGGCCAGCATGACTAAGCCGCTTCTGGGGAACCAGAGCAGCGCACGGAAATGCCGTTTACCTTCCCGCCGGAGTGGTACCTATTTATCTACTTGCACTTTGACGTGCTTTCGAACTGCTAGGTTGGCAGGAGCAGGGACCGAGCAACGGGAGCTCACCCCGTTGCGGGGATTCGAACCGCCAACCTTCTGATCGGCAAGTCCTAGGCTCTGCTTAACAAACTACAGTTCCCAGGATGCTTTGGGGGAAGCCATGGCTGGGGAAAGCACTTTGAATGCAAGCTGCATTATGTGGCCTCAGCCATTGCTATTCGTCTCGCTTCGAATTGTAGAAAAGGCCGGCAGAAAACCTTCTCTGCTCAGGTGAACAAAGCCCAGTTAAAGGTGTTGCTTATCATCTGACTATCGATCTGGGTCGTCAGGAAAAGGCATCAGGACCAGCCTTTCCAAACAGCCTTCGCAGGATGCAAAGCGAAGCTTGGAAGGCTGAGCTTAAGGCAGAAAAGCAAGAGGGAAGAAGCAAGGGGGAGGGAGGGGGGCGGAGAGCAGGAAGCGAATAAAACCAACACCTTCTGTGCTTCTAGAAGACACTGGAGCGACGAGAGCCGCACTCAGGGCAAAAATAGCATAAGGTGAATGAGCGCCTGGGGAGATGTAAAGCTGCCTTGACAGCTTCCCATAACAGGGTAGCTGCCTTTTGCCAAAGTCATTAAAGGCTGCTCCGTTGTGTAACCGCAGCTAAAGATGCCTTGCGACGGCCGGATCCTGTCAAGTGCTGATGATCTGTGTCTCTCCAGACATCAGCTGTATACAGTGGTACCTCGGTTTAAGAACAGTCTGGTTGAAGAACAATACGGTTTACAAACTCCGCAAAACCGGAAATAGTGTCTTGGTTTGAGAACTTTACCTCGGTCTAAGAACGGAATCTGAATAGTGGAAGGGCACCGGCAGTGGGAGGCCTCATTAGGGAAGGCGCACCTCGGTTTAAGAACAGTTTTGGTTTAAGAATGGACTTCTGAAACGGATTAAGTTTGTAAACCGAGGTACCACTGTATAGCAATGAGAGCAGGTCCATCCAGTGGCATAGCGTGAGGGCGGGTGGCACAGGCAGGGACGGATTTAGGTTAGCTACTGAAGGTAATGGAGCCCTTTATACAGCAGGCGGGGCCCGTGACTTACATCATAGGAGCCTACACAACACAAAACACTGTTGCTGTATGTAGGTTTTATTGTATTCGTTTTTTATCGTATATTTTGGAAATGTACATCCAGGGGTTTTTTTCCTTTTTTGAGGCCCCCAAGAGAGTGGGGCCCTAAGCTATAGCTTGTTTAGCTTATACGTAAATCCAGCATTGGGCACAGGGGTGATTGCCCCAGGTGCAAAATTGTTAGGGATGCAACATTTCAAGATCTGGTGCTGCCTCAATGCAGCTGCACATTTCCATCGCTGGGCTCCATTGAAAACGACTTTCCCATGCGAACCAGGAAGTGACCTCTCCAGACTCTTATTTTCTTATCTCAGCGGCTGTGACCTCCCGTCAGGCAGTTGAATATGCAGGCACACTCTGTCTGTTTCCTCCCTTCCACCCACCTCCATGTGGCCCCGGGCACTGGCAACCCATGCTACGCTGCTGGGTCCATCCCTACAGTTAGCCAGAGTGAGGTGACTGCCTTAAGCAGCAGATGCTGGTGGGTGGTAAGCAGTGGCACTTCTTGAACCCACCAGTTGTTCCCCTCTGTTGGAGAGCAGAGCTGTGAGTTTCGTGGCCCGCCCTGCACCCAGTTCCCTCTGGCATGGTAGAGGATGGTTGACACAGTCTGGTTCACGGGCGATCAAAGTCCTGGCAGGGGATGTCAGGACCGGGGTCAAGATGGGGGGTGGGAGCAGGAACGGGGGTCCAGAAGCCAGGAGGCCAAGAGTCCGAGGGTCAGAGAGCCGGGAGTCAAGAAGCCAAGGGTCCAAAGGTCAGGAAACAAGGAGTCACGAAGTCAGGGGTCCGAGGGTCAAGAAGCAAGGAGTCACAAAGTCAGGGGTCCAAGGCTCAAGAAGCAAGGAGTCATGAAGTCAGGGGTCTGAGGATCAAGAAGCAAGGAGTCATGAAGTCAAGGGTCTGAGGATCAAGAAGCAAGGAGTCACGAAGTCAAGGGTGTGAGGATCAAGAAGCAGGGAATCAGGAAGCTGAGGTTCAAGGATCAGGCAGCAAGAAGCCAAACGCAGCAAGGCAGGAAGCGTGTTGCTGTGGCAAAGAGCCGAAGGGAAATGCTGACCTTATATCCCTTCCCAGCTCTTGCCACCAAGTGCGGTGAGTTACCAAGTGGCCTCACCTGTACAGCCACTCCTTTCCTCTTCAGAACAAACTTAGGAAGGTCCCAGTCCTGCAAAGTCCTACTGGTCACAGGGCCTGGCTCCTGCACGCACTCCTGACAATGGTCCCCATGGCTGTGATGCAACTGGCAATCCAGTTACTTTCTGCAACATGGTGCCGTCTTGTCCTTTGCTTCCGGAATCAAATGGTCCTGAATGCCATCGGCTGAGTTCATTGCACCAAGTTGAGTTGGGAGCAACTAAGCAGAAGACATTGCTGCAGCCCTGTGCTAAGAGGCCTGGGTCTGCCAGAACTGATCTGTGATAGCAGCTTCACACAAACATGTGAACTCAGCACAAGAGCTGCATCCCATGTGCAAAACAGGGCGACCAAGATGATCAAGAATCTGGAAACCAAGCTGTATGAGGAGTGGCTGAGGGAGCTAGGTATGTTTAGCCTGGAGGACTGAGATATCACCTTCACGGCCTAGGACCCTCGTACCTACGGGACCGCATCTCCCAGTCTGCTGCACGAAGGACCTTAAGGTCAATAAATAGCAACACCCTAGAGGTCCCGGGCCCTAAGGAAGTCAGATTAGCCTGAACCAGAGGCAGGGCCTTTTCAACACTGGCCCCGGCCTGGTGGAACGCTGTGTCTCATGAGACCAGGGCCTGCGGGATCTGATTTCTTTCCACAGGGCCTGTGAGACAGAGTCGTTCCGCCTGGCCTTTGGCTTGGAATCAACTTGATCCCCTTCCCCTCTTTCCTTATTCCTTTCTCCTTCTGTGATGGAACTCCTATTTGGGGACTTCCCTGGCTTTTTTCTGGCCCATGTAGGGCCAGTCTGGATAGTTGGCCTTGGTGAAGATTGGACGTTTTCATCCCCAAAAAGTTTTTGATTTGAGTTTCTACTGAAATGAGGCTGCATTTTAATGTCGTATTTTAATCTTGTTTTTTAGTTGTATTTTAATCAATTGTTTTTATACCTGGTGTTAGCCGCCCCAAGCCCGGTCTTGGCTGGGGAGGGCGGGGTATAAATAAAATTAATTATTATTGTTATTATTAAATATATAAAGGGCTATCCCATGGAAGAAGGAACAAACTTGTTTTCTCCTGCTCCCGAGAGCAGAACCTGAACCAATGATTCAAACTGTAAGAAATGAGTTTCCAACTAAATATGTAGGAAGAATAACTTTCTGATGCTAGGAGCTGTTGGACAGTGTAGCGGACTACCTCAGAAGGTGTAGTTTTTTAATCAAAGGTTGGATTTCAGGGATTCTTTAGCTGAGATTCTTGCATTGAAGTGGGTTGGACTAGATGACCCTTGGCATCCCTTCTAACCGTACAGTTCTATGATTCTATGTTCCTTTTTGTCTGGAGCACGTTGGTAAGGTGCCCTGTTCTTTGGCTACACTGAAGGCCAGAAGGAGGGGATTTGCTTAATCCAGACGAACCATTTGTTCATATAAATACACTGCACAAACTTTGCTTGGTCCTATGCATTGCACAATTGCCACAAACACACCTGTGGTGTTGCATGTAGAAACGAGAGAAGGTGACTGCCTAATTTGCCTCTGCATCCAACAGATACAAATGTCTCTGTGCTGTGTGTTTGGGCAAATAATAATATATAATAATAATTTATTATTTATACCCCGCCCATCAGGCTGAGTTTCCCTAGCCACTCTGGGTGGCCGCCAATCAAGTGTTTGAAACTATACAGCATTAAATATCAACAACTTCCCTAAACAGGGCTGCCTTCAGATGTCTTTTAAAAATAAGATAGCTGCTTATTTCCTTGACATCTGATGGGAGGGTGTTCCACAGGGCGGGTGCCACTACCGAGAAGGCCCTCTGCCTGGTTCCCTGTAACTTGGCTTCTCACAGCGAGGGAACCGCCAGAAGGCCCTCAAAGCTGGACCTCAGTGTCCAGGCTGAACGATGGGGGTGGAGACCCTCCTTCAGGTATACAGGACTCAGGTCATTTAGGGCTTTAAAGGTTAGCACCAAACAGAACCTGTGTATCTTTTTCCTTCCATAGGTAAGGTAAATCGATACCAACAATAAAGTTAAAGAGGCACACTCCTTCCTTGGTGAAATGCTGTGTGTGTATGTAAAATATATACACAGCACATCATGTGTACACATGTTTATAAAGTGCACAAGTGTGTGTGTGTGTTTGTGTGCTCCTGTTTCCACACAGAAACAACCAAGAGTCTTGCAGCATCTTAAAGACTAGCCAATTTATTACAGCCGAAGATTTTGTGGACTGGAATGGTGATATATATTAGTCATATGCATTCCTGTGTGTCTGGATAACCTGTCTCTCTATAGCATACATGCTCAGCTCTCTGAGCATAACACACATCACACGCAGGTGCAAGAAGTGTATGCAGGGAGCGCATATAATAATGCAGCCGACAGCATAACAACATGAAAAGAGCCTGCTGGATCAGGCCAGTGACCCATCTCTAGTCCAGCGCCCTGTTCTCCCAGTGGCCAGCCAGATGCCCTAATGGGAAATCTGCAAGCTGGACTCGAACACAAGACTCTCCCCTCCTGTGGTTTCCAGCAACTAGCATTCAGAAGCATTGCTTCCTCCATGGCTTCATCCTCCATGAATTTGTCCCATCCTCTTTTGAAGCCATCCAGCTTGGTGGCCACCACTGCTTCCTGTGGCAGGCAGTTCCATAGTTGATATGTGTTGATATAATAAATAACACTGTGCCCATGGAAGATGTTAACTCCCAGTCTGTTTGGTGGGCATGTAAGTAAACACTACACGTAGTCTTCCCCCTACTCAAGTGGTTGCACCAATTCAATGAACAGAAGAATGCACTCTGCACATGTTCAGATGCTTTTTAATCCTTGTCAACGGAGGGAACCCTGGAACTGAAAGTATGTTGGGCTGGAATAAACCCCGACTCCACACATATTCCCTAAGGCAAAGGCAGATTTAGCATTAAGGAATGCTGTTCAATGAGTCTGATTATGATCCTATCTTTCATCCATATTGTTGACACCCTGAAGGCTCCAGGTTCAATCCCCAACGTCTCCAGGTATGTCTGGGAATCTGAAGCTTGGTTGTAGCCCTGGGAGTTGCTGTCAGTCAGTGCTGGCTGTACTGCCCTGGGTGGACTAGTGGTCTGGCTCTATATAAGACGACTTCCTGGGCTCCTGTGATTTCACCCCAGATCAGCTTGGTCTCTGGAAGCTCCTCTCCTCTCCCCCTGCACATGTGGCGTGGCTCACTTTCTTGAGCCACCTGCCACTGTTCACCTATTATTTTGCACCTGCTCTCTGCTTGGGGCTCATGCCAGTAAGGATTGTACTAACAGAAGTGCGGGAAGTTTGCAGAAATCACTGGGGTTATGGATGCTGCAGCCTTTTGGCAAAAGTTTGGAGCCAGTGGTCTTCCTTGCACCGTATGTAGTATGTGCCCAGATAGCGTATCGCTTCTTCTCTTCCCTTTTTTCTGGGGAGGGGTGGGAAGGGCTGGCCACGAAACGGGCAAGCAACCCCAGAAGGTTCAAACGTCCAGGTCTGTCCACTGCTGAGCTTTCTCAATGCAATGGATTATTATCAACAAAACATAGCAGTTAAGTAAGACTGCTTTGTTCTGGTGGAACGGAAGGCGATGGGCTCTCCTTCCCAGGAGTTCTCAAAGCAGAGTTTGGATGGCCATCTGTCAGGGATTTCTTTAGCTGGACTTCCTGCATGGCAGGGGGTTGGACTGGATGACCTTGGGGGTTCCCCTTCCAACTCTATAACTCTATAAATGAGGGGGTACCGTCCAGCTGACCCGCTCACTCTCCTTCATCCAAAAGTGGAGCTTTGCCAACACTGAGATCCTGGCCTTCTTTCACCTTGATTTTCCTGTGCCAGTGACCTAGAAATCTCCCCTCCTGGGGCACCCTCAGACCGACAGCTGCCGCCTCGACTAGGGGGAAGCCCGCTTCCATCTGGTCCCACTGCGCAACAGCGCCCCTTGGTGCCCGTGCCAAAGCATTGCCTGGCAGCAGCCCAGAGAGAACCAGGCGTCGGGTGGTTTTGGTGATTAGGCACCCACCTCCAGGATTTTGCAGGATTTCTGGAGGCTTCCAACTTCCTGACGGCCAATTTTGTTTTATTTTCTCTCCCCCCCCCCTTAACCATCTAGATATGAACTGTTGTTGTTCGAAAAGCAGAGAGCGGGGAGGGGAGAGCGCGCGGAGTGAGGTGGCGAGAGCCAGGCGCCAAAAAAGATGCTAAAACGTCACAGGGAGAGATTTCCTTATTGGGTCTCCCTCGCCTGCATCCTGAGTCCATATATGGGCATTTATGTCACAGCAGCCTCGCTCGGGGAACTCCAGAAATGGAAGAGCGGAAGATCAGAGGCAGATATATAAACCCAGGCTGCGTCTCCTCGGCTCTTTGCTTACAAACACCGAAGAGGGGAGAGAGAGACGCACCTGCCCAGCTCAGCCCAGGTGAGGCCTGGGATACAGATACAGCCCCCAGCTCCCTAGGAATTCAGAGCATCCTCCTCTCTCTCTGCCACGCGAGGACCAGCATCCCTGCGTCTTTCCACCTGTCGGAGGATACCTTTACTCACCCCACCTGGAGCTGAAGCAACCTCTGCCTTAGGGGGCCTCTCTGAGCAGCCAGGGAGGGGGCTCTCTCCTCCCTTCCACACCTCCTGCTTTCCTCCCATCTTTCCTCCCCCCCCCCCCCATTCCCATCTCCTTTTCTTCAATTTGGACATGTTGAACACCATGGATTTCTCGCACCAGGACTCTCCGTATGACAAGCGTCAGCTGAAAGCAGGTGACGCTTCCGTCTCCGGGCAGGACCAGGAGTCCCAACTTTTGACGGAGCAGCCGAGGGAGGGAGCCTCTGGTTTTCTCCCAGGTAAGGAAGAGAAGCCTACTCCATCTCACCTTGGAATGTCGGGCGGGGGGCGGGGCGGGGCGGTGGATGGACCTGCTCTGGATTTTTTAACCTGATTATTTCACGTGAAAGCAAGCCGGGGGGCAGGGGACCGGCATCAGATTTGTGAGCGCACAGCGGCACGGGCAAATGCCCTTCTCTAAAATGATGGTGTTATAACGCTTAGGGTAAATTTAAGAGTCCGTTAATTGTTTAAAACAATGCGTGGGAGGGGGGGGTTAGTAGGGGAATGTGGTTTGAAAATCGACTGTGATGGCATTCATTAGAACTGCATGGCTAGAAGTGTGTGAGGGGGGAGGTTAATACGAAAGAAACATAGAATAGAACCGGAAGGGCTCCCACGAGGCCATCCAATCCAACCCCTGCTTTGTGCCCACCAGATTCTATATGTGCTCAAAGCATTCTTGACAGGTGCTGGTTTAACCGTTTAACCCAAAACTTACAAAGGAGGTGGTTCTTCAAGTTCCCTGCTAGGCAGCTCATCCAATTGCAGAACAGCAGGACATGATTATTCCCATTTCACAGATAGGGAATGGTGGTCGAGAGAATGGCTGAGGAAGCCCGTGCAAAGGCTGACACCACCCCAGTGCTCCAAATATGGGTTCTTCCCCTTTAGACTCTCCCTTTTTTGGCAAATGCTCTGCACTGGATTGAAAATTGTGCCTGGGTCCAAGAGGGGAAAGTCCTTATCTCCGTGGTAGACCCTCTACCTGTCATACAGGTAACATGTCCAGGTAGGGCTGAGAAGGACACCTGCCTGAAGCTTTGCAGAGCTGCTGGCAGTCAGCACAGACAGTTCTGAGCTAGATGGACTCAAGCCCATCTTGTGTCTCTTCACTAGGGCAACCTACTTGCTGTCTCCCAGTCTAACCAATGGTTAATTGCTAAAAGGATGGAGTCAAGGCTGAAATGCAACTGGTGGAGGCCTTTACCCCCCGCCCCCAGATCCCAAGCCTGTGAGGCTTGGTTATAGCTGCTTAGACGCTGCACATGCTCAGGAACTCTTCCTTCTTTCTTTATTTCACATGCTCTGGAGCCATTAAGACCTGGCCCATGGAGACCAACTCTGGGATCTAGCCCTGGGTCCATGAAGCCTTGAGCCCAACTCACCTCCTAGAAGTCTTGTGATGGTCAAATGAGTCAGGTGTGTGTGGGCATCATAACCCACCTCAAACTGCTAGATCAGGCTGCAAATCCACCTTGAACAAGCAAGAGCCTCATTGCAGGTACCTCATAGGAGGACATGCCTCACCCCTATTGCATCTGGGGCACGAAACAGGGCCATGGGGAGCTACATTCTACCAGCTCAGGCTATTGGTCCACCTAGGTCAGGTCTGTGTCCTTGATTTGGTGCCTGATCTTCAATGTCAGGGAACGGGCTCATCCCATCACCTGCCACCCGATGGCCACCTGTTTACCTGCATTGCAAGGGGTTAGACCAGATGACCCCTGGGAAACCTTCCAACAGTTCCATGATGCCAGGACTCTTTTGGTTGAAGGATTAAAGCCGGGGCCGTCTGCTTGCAAAGCTGTGTGTGCCACCATCACGCTAAGGGGCCATCGCACCTTCCCAGAAACCTCTGCTGCCTTTTCTTGTGGAGCTCTGGTGTTCTATGATTCTATTTGTAATGAAAACCCCGTGTTTCTGTTTTCCAGGTGACTTTATGGGAGCCACAATGAACCCTGAAACCACAGATTACTACTTCGTTTCCGGACAGCCCTCCCCACCGGTCAGCTATACGGGCAGCTTTTTCATCAAGACAGAGCAATGCCAAGACCAGGAGTCCCTCTTCAACCTGATGTCAGGCATCCTTGGTCTTTCTCCCTTCTCGTCTTCAGAGGCCCACCAGAGGCAGCCGGACGCCGCCTACAGTGTCCCAGAGGCCATTCAGAACCATTTGGACCTCTATTCCACCTGCCAGCCCGAGCTGAACATTTCTGTGCGGCCGTTGTTAGCCGAGCAAAGCTATTCTACGTTCTCCAGCCCTGACACCATCCAGCAAGCCCAACCTTCCTCCGACATGGGGGCCTCTTCCCAATGCCTCTTTAGCGAAAAACTGTTGGACAGCAAACAGGACATCAAGCTGTCCGCCATCTCCCCGTCCCTGGAGAAGTTCAAATCTCCTTGTTCCCACTGGGACCCTCTTAGCCAGTCTCAGAATTACCTACCAGCAGAATACAACCCTCCAGAGACATTCCGCCCCACAGAGGCCAGCCAGACAATGTTCCCCCAACTGGCATCCAAAACCGAGAATGTGCTGTCCGTCAGCTGCCAGTCGGAGCTCAACGGACTCCCCGAACAGTCGGGTTCCTTCGGACAAAATCTGGACTTCACTTGCCTGCCGGAAAGGTTCTCCACCCTCACACAGATCCCCAGTGACTTTGTAGAGGCCAAGATCCCCAATTTACCGCCCCAGCTCATCCAAGACTTTGAGTCTTCCTTGCCCCAGACTGAGGTCATGCCAAACTTGGCAAGCACCAATGACCAGAGGCTGCACACCAGCCACACCCCGCCATCAACTCCCATGACAGACTTCCTGGCCCATTCCGCCGGCTCCTTGGTCAACCCCCTAGCCCCCAGCAGGACCCCCGGAGCCGTCCCAGAGCCAAAGAAGAAGCCTCGCAGGGGGAAGTGCTCCTCCAAATGCTTCTGCCCCAAACCCCATGAAAAAGCCTTCGCCTGCCCGGTGGAGAACTGCATCCGTTGTTTTGCGCGGTCGGACGAGCTCAACCGCCACCTGCGCATCCACACCGGCCACAAGCCCTTCCAGTGCCGCATCTGCCTGCGGAACTTCAGCCGCAGCGACCACCTGACCACGCACATCCGGACGCACACGGGGGAGAAGCCCTTCTCCTGCGACGACTGCGGGCGCCGGTTCGCCAGGAGCGACGAGAAGAAGAGGCACAGCAAGGTCCACCTGAAGCAGAAAGCCCGGGCGGAGGAGAAGCTCAAAGGCCTGGGCTTCTACTCCGTGGGACTTTCTTTCGGGATGCTGTGAAACCCCGGGGGGTGGGTGCGAATCCTGCTGGGACTTTGCGGGGATGTTTTTTCTTTCTGGAAAGGGCTCTGGGAAACTCAGGTTAAGGTTCCTTCGTGCAGCAGAGAGTTGAAAGGAACGATAGACGTGGCATTGTGGCTTGTCCTGTTGATTCACTTTTTTGGAAGTGTCCGGGTGGAAGAACGTAAATGGAGGGGACCAAAAGGGTCTGGTGGGATGCGGGCAAGAATTCAAAGTCATTCCATGCTCATTTGCAGAGGAGTTCAGGTCCAAAGGCCAGCTTCTGAGTTGTCAGAGAAATCTGTATTTTAGCAGAGGTGAGCTTCTGAGTTTCAGCACCACATGAGTAGCGGACAGCTCCCAGTGGCTAAGCTAGGCTGAGCAAGGCGCTGAATTTCCCAAACAGCATTCGTAAATATATATATATATTACAAGGGAGAGAGAAACACCTATCTCTGTTTTACGCAAGAACAAGACAACTTTACAGTTTTTAATGAACTGAACCGACTTTCATTACATAAGCACTTTAATGGGCCTTCCAGGGAGAGGGGAGGGGTACTTAAATTTTTTTTCCTAAGAATAAAATTTCTCATGTTCAAACTGCAGGGCTGGGGAAGGAGACAAAGTTGTATACAATCAGCACAGTTCATTGCTTTGTTAATGATGCAAATTGTTGCTATGGAGTAGGCAAACTTTGCTTAATGAACATTTTGTATATAATTGTGATTGCAGGATTGGGTGGGCGGGGTGATTCTCATTTTTTATGTAAATCTCTCTCTTTGTAAAAACAGAATGTGCCAGGGTTATTACAAAGCTGTGTTTATTTTTACAATAAACAAAATTTGTTTTAATCTAAAAAAAAAAGTTTTAAGATTTCTTCTATGTTGCTTTTCACCGCCACCTTTGACCCCAATCCAGATCCCCCCCCCCCCGAGAAACCCAAATTCTTCAGTAGTGGGAATTGAGGGACAATTCCTAGTTCCCTGTTTTGCCTGAAGGCAGCACAACGGGTGTTTCGGATGTAAGTAGGAAAGGGTCTCCTAGGCAGAGATGCTCATTTAGCAGCAAAGAGGATCCAGGAATCTGCTTTGTGGAGAGGAACAGAGACCCCGCCCCCCAGCCAAAGATATCACCTCTCCAAATCTATCCAGATTTCTGCCCAAACCACCTCTTGTCTGGATTGTGATGGTCTGGGACTCGGGCTCAGACTCGGAGCCAGAGGAGTCTCAGTCCGCACTAGATCCTTTGCCTCAGGCATCATCTGAACCAAGTCTGGGGCCTGATTCCGAAGAGCCCCAGTCTGCACAGGTTCTCCTGCAACAAACACCAGCTGGGTCGAGTCAGGGGCCTGAGCCTGCCCTGGCTCCAGATGCGGGGATTACCTTGTTGCCTTCAGCTGGGCCATCACTTACAGCTGCTCCACTACCAGTTGGGTCAGGAGAGGCTGAGGTGGCCCCTGGGTCTAGTAACCCACCGATGTCTCCCGAGCTGCAGAGACTCAGGTCTGAGAGAAGGAGAGACCTGAGTACTCGCAGGAGGAGTCCTTGCCTTCGGGTGAGACAGGGAGGTGAGTCACCAGGGGATCAGGACCGGCCGTTACCCCGATAAAGATAAAAGGCTGTCAGACCCCGCCCCAGGTTGCAGGAGCAACATTGCTGTTTGCTAGAACCTGCCTGAGACCCTGTGCCTGACCTTGCCTGGTTTCCTGCCTTGAGTCCTGCCTTGGCCCTGTCGGACTGACTCCTCATGGAGCCCTTTGATTCGGGACCAGACCTGGACCGCGTTGCTCGGGTTTACCCCCGGGCCCAGCACATGGGTAATTCTCCTGCACCCACTCTGATTTTTCTATCAAGGCTCTCCATGGGATGAGTTCCCAGTGCTCTGCATCTCCAAAAGCTGTCTTATCCTCTTTTAAAGCCATCCAGGTTAGCAACCATCACTGCCTCATGTGGCAGGGAGTTCCACAGTTTAACTCTGTGCTGTGTGAAGAAGGACTTTCTTTTATCTGTTCTGAATCTTCCAACATTCACCTTCACTGGATATCCACCATGTCTAGCATTTTGAGAGATTCATTGCTCTGAACACTTTTGCCCCAGGCCCTGTCAATCACTGCAATGTGGCCCCTTCGAGCTCTAGGCTTGTCAATGTTGTTGGGATGCATCCAAGGGAACAGGGGCAATTGGCAGGCCCCCAGCTGGCTCCAGCCCACCGGCCGGCAGCCAGGCGATCTCCGGTCCTTGGAGCAGCATGTAACTGCGACTCAAACCTCAGAAACCTTCAGAAGCTGACCACGCAAGCCAGCAGAGAAAATAACTCTCTGCAACAGAAGGGCACAGAGACAGAGGCTGTGTAAAGCATATTTACGGAAGTTTATTTAGCATACATTAGGACAAAGAAAACATGTCTGCTCTCCTTCATGTCCAAAGCAAGAAGCATAAGCAAAAGCTAGACACAAACGGAAGTTCCCAGCAAGCTGTGCTGGAGTGTAAACAGGCATGTGACACACAACAGCCTGTTCCTCTTAAGATGGAACGGAATATCTTAACAAATGTTTGGGACATTAGACTGTATGCAATACAGTGGTACCTTGGTACTCAAATGACTTGGCTCCCAAATAAATCGGCTCCCAAACGCCGCAAACCCAGAAGTAAGTGTTCTGGTTTGCGACCGTTTTTTGGAAGCCGAACATCCGACGCGGCTTCCGATTGGCTGCAGGAAGCTCCTGCAACCAATCAGAAGCTGTGCCTTGGTTTTTGAACCATTTCGGGAGTTGAACGGACTCCTGGAATGGATTAAGTTCGAGAACCAAGGTACCACTGTAACTCTGTTTAATTCAAGAAAGCTGACATAGGACCATGATAGCGAATCTTTCATTTCAACCGCGTTGCCAATAACCGGAGATGAAGGCAGATGTGCTCCAGATTCTGGCAGGTGGAACAGCTTGATGGTCAGCCTGGTGAGGAATGAGGCAGGCTTCTGTAATCACTCTGAGCATATTGTGAAGGACAGAGTCTGGTGTCCTGTAGGAGGAATAGACCGGAATTTTACTGGGAGGCAGAGGTTGAGCCAGAAGAAGTAGGAGCTGGAAAGGAACAGCCTACTTGGGACTCAAATCTAGTCTGGAGGGGAGAGATTCTTCCAAGGAAAATGAGAAACTCCCGGACCCAGTGAAGGGAGGGAGTCTATTACTTAAAGTACCTCAGGAGCAGGATTGTTAAATGGGGTGGATGACTGAAAGAAAGTGAGAGTGAGAGCTGGACCATAAAGAAGGCTGATCGCCGAAGAATGGATGCTTTTGAATTCTGGTGCTGGAGGAGACTCTGGAGAGCCCCATGGACTGCAAGAAGATCAAACCTCTCCATTCTTAGGGAAATCAGCCCTGAGTGCTCACTGGAAGGACGGATTCTGAAGCTGAGGCTCCAAGACTTTGGCCACCTCATGAGAAGAGAAGACTCCCTGGAAAAGACCCTGATGCTGGGAAAGATGGAGGGCACAAGGAGAAGGGGATGAAAGAGGACGAGATGGTGGGACAGTGTTCTCGAAGCTACCAGCATGAGTTTGACCAAACTGCGGGAGGCAGTGGAAGACAGGAGTGCCTGTCTTTTATGGGGAGGGTGGAGGGGGGGAAATGGGGGGGGGATTAAGGATGATATGTTTTTTGAGAAAATGTTTTGTTGAAATTCCTAATAAAAAATATTATTTTTTATAAAAAGAACCAAACACCTGTCACTCTGCCTCCCATTATCCTGTCAGCCTCCGCCTTCCTCGCCTTTTTGTTTGGATGACTGTGAGGAGCTGCTGTTGAAAAGACCAAACGACAGAGAGGTCAGCGCTCTCAAACTACTGCAACCTCCATGCGCCGCACTTTGCCGGCACACAGTCAACAAGGCCACAGCTGTCATCCGTGCTGTATTTGAGCTACAGCTGCTCCCTGCAACCAGGCAGGCCGAATTCAGCTTGGGAGGCGATGTGGTACAGCCTTCTCCTTGGGGGAGCCAAGTAAAATAGCTCCAGACAAGTGGCCGAGCACCACCAGTGTCCCGTCTGCCCTGATATGCTATGAAACTGCAGGTTTAAAATGATCTCCACAGACATTATATATTAATGATGGACTGGGAAAGGCTTTGGAAGCATTTTGGAAGATAGATTTGAATTTGAAAGTACTGCATGCACTTTACTTTACTGAAAAAGAACTACATGGAAATGATGTATCGGTGGTACGTATTTGTTGTTGTTTAGTCGTTTGGTCGTGTCTGCCTCTTTATAACTCCATGGACCAGAGCATGCCAGGCACTCCTGTCTTCCACTGCCTCCTGCAGTTTGGTCAAACTCATGCTGGTAGCTTCGAGAACACTGTCCAACCATCTCGTCCTCTGTCGTCCCCTTCTCCTTGTGCCTCAATCTTTCCCAACATCAGGGTCTTTTCCAGGGAGTCTTCTCTTCTCATGAGGTGGCCAAAGTCTTGGAGCCTCAGCTTCAGGATCTGTCCTTCCAGTGAGCACTCAGGGCTGATTTCCTTCAGAATGGATCGGTTTGATCTTCTTGCAGTCCATGGGACTCTCCAGAGTCTCCTCCAGCACCAGAATTCAAAAGCATTGATTCTTCGGCAAATGGTCCTTCTTTATGGTCCAGCTCTCACTTCCATACATCACTACTGGGAAAACCATAGCTTTAACTATACGAACCTTTGTTGGCAAGGTGATGTCTCTGCTTTTTAAGATGCTTTTTAAGGTGCATATTTAACCCCGGTTTAATTAGCAAAAATGTACAGAACAAGTTCTAATAAGTGCTGGAAATGTAGAGAAACAGAGGGTACGTTTTATCGTATGTGGTGGGAATGTAGGAAGGTCAAAAACTATTGGGAAATGATTTATAATGAAATGAAAAAAATGCTTAGAGTAACCTTTGGTAAAAACAACAACAACCAGAAGCCTTTTTATTAAGTATTCTAGGAGCGGAGATTCCAAAAGAAAAGAAAAGAAAAGAACTTTTCTGTATGCTACAATGGCCGCCCGGACGGATACTGTTAGCCCAGGGGTGCCCAAACATTTTTCAAAGAGGGCCAGATTTGATGAAGTGAACATGTGTGAGGGCCGACCAAAGTTGTTGAGCTAGATTAGGCCCCTGAAATGGACTTTGGACATGCCTGTGTTAGCCCAAAGATGGAAAGAGGAAGCAGTCCCAACGGAAGAAGATTGGCAAACCAAGTTAATGACTATGCAGAAATGGCAAAACTAATTGGAAAGCTCAGAAATGGAGATGACAAGAAATTTTAAAAAGAATGGGAAATGTTTATTATGTACTTACAAAAGTATTGTGAATAGGTTAATACATTGGCAGGATTTTAAGAACACTTGTAATTTTAGAAATAATATAAGGCATTTGAGATAGAAAAATAATTTGGAGTAGAAATGATATGCAGTTGAAAAAGGAAAGTAAGGAACCAGAGATGAGGGAAGTAACAGGATTCGGAGAATTCCATATCATGGATTTGATATGGTTTGGGTGTGTTTTTTACAATTTTGTTTGTTCGTTGTTGTGGTGTTTGTTGTCGTTTGACTTTTATTTCTGTTATTTTTGTTGAAAAATTAATTTAAAATCTTTTTTTTTTTTAAATGTTATTCACCTACTTATTTGAAATCCCACCAACTTACAATCCTGTTGGCAAATGAGCTAAAAGTGCCTGCAGAAACCTTTGCTTCGAGCTCCCTTGCAGCTCAGGTTGTGCAATGTTTATCTGAAATGGATTTGCAAGGGAGCTAAGGTCTTGCAAGAAATCCTTGCCCGGATCTAACAGCTCAGATTTTGCATAGGTTTTA